TACCTGCCTGCCTGCCTGTCTACCTGCCTACCTACCTACCCACCTGTTTACCTACCAGTCCATCTACCTACCAGTCCATCTACCTACCAGTCTACCTACCTGCCTGTCTACCTACCTGCCTGTGCGAATTCTGCCTGTGCACGTATTACTCCTCACCGTAGTCTTACACAAGCTGCTATCTTGAGAGCTGTGAGTACTTACAATAGCAATGTTTTTTTTTAATATTGATAATGACAATTTTGGCTTTGGAGGGGGTCCTGAAGGGACGGGCTGTCAGTGTTGCAGACTTGGCCCCGTTCTTGCAATATTTGGCAACTTTCGTAGCTAGTGCTGCTAGCTACTTTCATCGGAAAATAATTGGCAACACTGGGCTGGGTTTTTCAGTTGGATGATTTAAAAAATATAGCCCACTCTTAATGGTTTCTCAAGATTACCAGCCCTGCAATTTGTTCTTACTCTGGGAACAAATTCAGACTCAGACCATGCATACGCACACATGATGAAGCCCCGACCGGCTGTCTTCATGTTAACATAGTTTAAATAAATGCATCTCATATTAAAACCGTTACGCCTTTCATATTTTTGATAGGCTTAACGCCAACATGTATTAATTGAAGAAGAATATTTATTAGATTAAAACATGTTGTGAATTTTGGAAATGATTACATCTATAATCTTTCAATAAATTGTGACTTTTGGACCGTGGACACTCTGGAATTATTGGAATCACAGGAGATGGAAACAATCCTTTATGCAGCCACCACTGGAATCTAATTCAATTCATAGTATAATACAAATAATATCACTGTACTTTGACCTTTATCTGCAACTGTGAAGAAATACTAAATATTTAATTTGAACACAATAAATAGACATGCAGATAAACAAACCTGTGCAGCATTTGAATTTTGATTTAGAATTTGAATGTCAACATTATGAATGAAGCTTCGAATTAATAGCTACAGATATAGGTAGACACCTTTCAATTTGATGCTTTTGTCTGCTCCAAGTCTTTCCAAGACTTTAGTCCAGGGTCCTCTGGTAACCAAACGGCCCTTAGACGTAATGAGGACGATTGAACTAGAGAAAGAGTGAGAGACAGCTTTTTATTTCACTATTTACATTTAGCTGATAGCAGCTGCATGTGTCTTGCTTTGTGGCAAATTAATTCAGTTTCTTTAGAGGCCCCATGCATCATCCAAAAACAAACAAAACAAGAAAACAAATGAAGAAACTTAAACAGAGTGGTAGTGCAAACTGTTGAAGGACTTTTAGACAGTAATGGAGCAGCCTTTACCCATCTGTCAGTCCACTGACGTAGTTGTCTATCTGTGCTGGGATGCCCTGTAAGATGGAGTTCCTGAAGCCTTTGTTTTCTACCACCTTCCCATCATGTCCGTCAATAACTGTCAGCTGCACCCCATCTTCTGGTTGGTACAACTTCCTGCCGTTCACCTGTCACAACATGGCCAGTCAATCACACTACAGTTCTGGTATCTATTAAATGACAGCACTGCAATAATGTCAATGATTTAGCAGAACTGATATCAAATAACACAGGTCATTCATATGTTGTATTGTAATAACTTTCTGTAGCACTTATAAAACAAACTGAGGTTCAAATGACTTACTAATTATTAAAATAGTAAAAGTTAAATTGCTGCTAAAGGAATACAAAAAACAAATCAACCAGTATCTCTAAGACAAACAGTCTTCATAGACTTCATCTGTCTGAAACATGTTGTTGCTGATGCTAGCCTGATCTCTGTATATCCTGTCCACAGTGTTTATATCGCAGCATTAGTCAACACATTCTCACTCCCGTCGTTAAATCCCGACGCTTGGTCAGTGGCCCTACGATTCAAATGACGCTTTATGTATCCCTCTTGCGTCAGTTTTGCACATCAGGGACAAAGTGTCAGTTTGATCAGTTTCCGCTTTCTCTTTTTAAAATAAACTTCCTACCTCGATTTTTAAAACAAAACTACTCGGTAAGGATTAGAAAAATATAGCGGTTTAGGTCAAATTAACATGTTTGTTATGTAAAATAAATATGTTTGTTATGTAACTGGAGATTACGCAACAAAACTAAATAAATCAACGTTGTTTTAAACAGGACATGAACAGCGGTTTCCTGGGTGAAAGCCCTGTGCGTCTTATATAGACACTATATCAGGGGTATTCAATTAATATTCAGCGAGGTCCAGTTAGAAAGCATTTCCTTATACAAAGGTCCGGAACATCACAATAATGTCTAACTTGCACTATGATTTAGTTCCATATATATTGAAGTAGCCAACAGTTGTATTAACGTCTGTACGTAGTCAACAACTGAGTGTCAAATAAAGTAAAGAAAGTTCAATTGAATAATATCTCAACAATAATTATTGTCAGATTTTATATTGAACTGGATGAATTATAAATAATAAACACTCTAATAATAAATAAATGTTCTTCTCTCATTTCAAGTAAAATAAGGACCGCATTTAAGAATAAATTAAATAACAAAGCTTTTGAAAAATGTGGCTCTTAAAATAAAATACTTTGGTAGTCTTTGCCCTTCAGCTTTAAATTAAGTTCATTCAGGGGGAAGTGATGTCAACCAAGAAAAACATGACTTTATGTGTGGTTATTAAACCACTTGTTTCAGCTATATTCCTCTCTGTTAACATCATTGTTGGCCAGTGAGTGGATGAGTTAGGGTTCTGATCATATCAGCTCTTAGGTTTATTTTCTGTGACTTAATTTCAGATGTGAGTGGGTACGTTTGCTTCAAATAGTTGTGCTTTGTCTCTTTAGTGGCGCTTCACATTACCGCTTTTAATAATCGTCACGGTCTCTGAACATGTGAGACATGCTGGTTTTGAACTGGTTGTGGAAATAATGAAGATTTAAAAGTCTGTCCATTCTTGGTTAAAGACTCTGGTTAAGCTGTCCACATTTCTCTTTTTCGAGCACGTCATGTGAAATAACTTCTCTGACTCAAGTTCTCTCCAACTGTTGGGTCTCTCTCCCTTGTGTGTGAATATCACGTGATATGATTTACAACGTATGTAATTGGTCGGTGTGTTTTTCTGGACAGCTGAACGAGTGGCGTAAAGGCTAGAAAAGCTGCACCGGTTAAAATAGAAGCGCTCCGTGAGCTTGTGAGTCCAGGGTCCAGATGGACCCGATAACAGGGTCTGGGTCCAGACTTGGACCGTGGTCTGCTTACCCGAGCGTATTGGACGATTCAGGAGTGAGAACAGGGTTGCATTATTTCCCTGGAGCCAACAGCTGGGCTCATAGGGGTACAGAACTTGACTCGTCTTTTGTACAAATTACAGTAAAAGGGTTACTTCAGAGTTTTAGTACATTTCCACAAAGAGGGGACTTGTAAAAGACAAATTTGAAAAACAATGGTCAAAATTTGAAGCAGCAGAGGCCCCAACTTTTATTCCGTAATATGAGTCACGCACTAAACACACTAGAATCTACATTTCCCATAATGCAACTGGATAGCAACTTTCAAACACTTCCAGTTTGTAAAAATGTTTAGCCCATGAGCCCAAGCTAAGATAAACCTGATGACATCACTATGACATCGTCAGGGTTATTTTTTCAGACTTGACAAATGTCCTCCAGAGCCACGGAAGCTGGCTGAGTAGCACTGACCATGATGAATGAACAGATCCTCTTTAGGAATGCAAAAATAGCCAACCTACAAGTTGGAGGAGTTCTGCCGTGTTTGGGCTCTTTTTCGCAGTTATTGCTAGCTTGCAGGCACTGGAAAAAGTTTATTTTCTGGTGCGCCTTAGTTCTTTACTAAGGGCCTTTCCTTCACCGTTTGGTGAGTTTAAGTTTGTTGTTGGAAATATTGTATAACGTCTCGCGGCAGCTGTGGCTCAGTGGGTTGAGCGGGTCGTCCTTTAACCATGATGTTGGCTGTTTGATTCCTGACTCCTAATTTCCAGATGTCAAAGTATCCTTCAAACTTCAAGTTGCTAAAAATGCTTAGGGTGGGTTAAATGCAGAGGTCAACAAGTGTTTTAAATGACCACTTCGAGCAGATTGCCTGCACACATCAGCGCTGGTTTTTGAATGAAGTGTGTTGTACCTCAGTAAAGGCAAAGTCCTCTTTGATGTGGAAAAATCGAGTGTTGTAGGACTCCAGTTTGACCTCTAAGAAGTGTTCTGTTGAGTGCTGAGAGTAAACAAGCTGGAATTAATTCACAACATTTGGAATTTCACAGAAGCAATTTGAAGTTTTCACTTCAAAACAAATAACTGTAAAAAACCACAGCTGCAAAATGTACTTTGATATAAGCTCTAACCTGTGGGGAAATTGAGATCAGCAGCAGTAAAAATTAACACAAATTCTAAAAAGAGGCATGTATTTCTAAGACACAGAGAGTGCATGACTAAAATATGTGTTCAGATATAGAGATATGAAAAACACACCTTGTATATACAAACCTAGTAAATCAGAATGAACATATCTGAATAAGTCGGATACAACATGTTTTAGATGATACAAAATAATTCTGTGGATTTATACACAGACCTGCTTATGTGGAAATGCCATAGATATTGTATTTGTGTGCTAGAGACCTTTTTGACGTTGAGAAACATTGTTGACAAAACGGTCAAATGATTTCAATAAGTTAGTTGTCTGTGTCCTGTTATGACAAGTCAAAAAGTACAGTATAGTATGCTCTGTATAGCATGCAATAGAAATGCTCTGAAATGCGTATAGAGAACCTTTGATGATCACCTATAAGGCATGTAAAGTCTGGCACCTGATGATATCTCTGACTTGCTAACATTGTGTGGGCCTTAGTGTAGCCTGAGTGTAGTCTGAGTGTAGCCTATCTGTAGCCTGAGTGTAGCCTATCTGCAGCCTTAGTGTAGCCTGAGTGTAGCCTGAGTGTAGCCCGAGTGTAGCCCGAGTGTAGCCCGAGTGTAGCCCGAATATAGCCCGGGTGTAGCCCGGGTGTAGCCAGAGTATAGCCAGAGTATAGCCAGAGTATAGCCTGAATATAGCCTGAGTGTAGCCTGAGTGTAGCCTGAATATAGCCAGAGTATAGCCTGGGTGTAGCCTTCCTTTGCAGTCATGGCCCCTCGGCTGACTCTGTGAGAGAAGATCATGCAATACCAGATGGTATTGTCCATCTTTGTTTATTACTATTAGTCAATTAGTTACTATGTTCACCATTCTGTCAGTTCAGTTCCACTACAACTGCCTGTATAAACATCTATGTAGAGCACAATGCCTCGTTTGAACATTTTCATTTAACTGCCCCCCCATCCAACCCCCTCTCCCTTTTCTCACCAGCCTGACATTAGTTATCTTTCTGGGCATGGGTACATCCACAACGGGCAGCTCAGCGTGTTTGGGGTAGGCCTGGACCATGCAGTTGCTGGGTAAACTGCCTTTAGGGACGACGGCTGTGATCTTCACCCTCTCACAACCCTTGACAGAGCAGAAGGCAAACTGTTCCCTGTCGTTATGGGCCTTGACCTTCAAGAAGAGCAGGCTGCAAAACATAGTAGAGCATTAGACATCATAAACACATACATGTTGCTGTACTAAGGACATACAGGACCTTTTGAATCTGCTCACCTTTTAGTTCCATTTCTTACAGAAATGCATGGCAATCACCAAAATAAAACAATTGGAGGAATTTACTTATAATTCTAACTTCTGTACTTATGAGATAGTACATCACAACTCTGACATCCAGAAGTCATTATTACAAGATAAGGCCTCCGTTTTTTCCTTTGGTGAATGCAATACTGTTCACTTTAGTTATCTTTCTTGTTCCAATTGTTTTATTTGCTCCCTTTATCATATATCCTCTTTTCATGCCTCCTTTGCTCTTTACATTATATTATATATGTTGGTCTTGTAAAGACAAAATCTTTTAACTGTAAAAAAAAGTCCATCTTCTTAAATTATATTTTCAGATCAATCTAAATCTAAGTCTAACATGGAATAGAGTGTGGTTTTATTAATGTTCACACATAAAACCAATACAGGTTAGTACAACCTGGGTCTATTTTTGTAGCTGTAGTCATCATTCCTATCAGTAATATTAATATTTGAAATTAAGGCAATGAGCTTATTCAATAAGAATCCTGGAGTCACTAAACACTGCAGATCAGCAGGCAGTCGATCAGACGGGTAAGCCACACTCATTTGGAAGAGGTGTTGAAAGGTGAAATGATTGGCCAAAGTATCCATTGGAAAGGACCATCACAGTTTATACACCCACTTCCTACTTTCACCTTAGCTGTGGGCTCTCAGTGTTCTGGAGCAGTGAGGGATTATTATGGCATTTACCTCCAAAGGAGGTACTTTAGATAATCGGGATAAATTGTTGGTTTGTTTACGGATTCTGTGTGGAGCCGTTGTTCTTTGTTGTATGGCGAATTTATAGCACATGCTTTTACACTGACTGTTGTTTTGTGACGGGGGATAATAGTGTTGGAAGTAAAGGTTGCTTGTGAGTGGAGGCGAGCGTCTGCGTGAGTGTTTCTTACCCAGTGTCTTCCTCCCAGTAGTAGTATCCTCTCGCCAGATGGGAGTGGTTGATCTTCTCCCTCGCTGTTGTCCTCATGAAGACGCCCGACTTGCGGGTCTGCTTGGTCAGGCGGTTGTGGATATCGGAGATGACGGTGAAAGTGGTGCCTTGTGGGTAGCAGAGGCCCACGTTGATCCAGTCATTTCTGAAACACCCCGAACACTGTACTGCTTTCATCTCAGCACACACATGATTACTTCTACCTTCATTAAGTGAATATCACATGAATTCTGAATAGAGCTGAACAAATGAGTGGATTAATAGAGAGACAGAAAAGTAACTATCAATAATTTTGATAAATATTTGCTTCAGTAATCTATAAAGGATAAAAATGTATGAAACATTCTCCGGCTTTAGCTTTTCTAGTGTGAGGATCTGCAGCTTTTAAAAAAAGAAAAGAATATATTTTTGGTAAGACATTTGAAAAATCTGGGATTGTCTGATGGGCACTTTACACTGTTTGTCACTGTTTTGGGGAAATGGCAGGAAAAATTCTGCTGTGGAAAAATATGCATTACACATGGATTATAAAACCATGTGTCAGTTGGGTATTGGTGCATGTTTTAAAGAGTTGAAATTGAACTTAACCTTAAAGGAAAACTTCATCCTTATAATGAGTATTTGTATCATTTTGGTTTTTCTCTCATAACTCCGCAGTGAACGAAGAATCCAAAAAAGTAAATCCTTGATGAATTGAAGTAAAACAAAAGAAAACTCCTGCAGTATATTCCAAGTGTTATCTTTCCAGTTGTATGCTCACTACTTTACAAACAATATGATACTATATAAAACACTTCTGCCACTACCGTCTCCTGCATGCACAAGCCTCCGTATACTTCAATTCATCAAGGATGTATTCTGTTTCCGGATTCTTCGTTCGCCATGGAGGCATGCGAGAAAACAATGTTTTCAAAGTTACACAAGGTGAGTAATTGATCAACAAATGGTCATTTTAAGGGTGAAGTATCCCTCGAAATATATACTCCAATATCCTGTATACAGTTAAAGCACATGTTATATCTCAAAATTCACCTGACCTGTACTTACCCTTCTTATCTTAATTATATACAAGCAATCAAAGAGGAAATTGTCTTGTGTGCAGCATACACAATGCACTTATATGTTTTTACTTTTCCATTTTTTTTTTTACTTCATAGTTTTTTGCTTTACTGAACTCCCAGTGAACTGAACTGAGCTCTCACTTCACAGCCATTCACCATTCCTCAAAGAAAAAGGCTGCTGATTGCAGCTCTAATTGAAAATGTGTGTTCCCACATATGTTTTCCACATATCAGGACAAAATCGAAAAGAACAAAATGAAACCTTCAAACCTTCAATATAAACTCCCCCAAAGTCAAACAATTCATTAACAAGACAGATTATTCAAAGGATTATCATATATATATATATATATATATATATATATATATATATATATATAACCGCTTTCTGCTGAGTCTAATGCAAAGTCCTTCATCAAAGCTTCAATTGAGCAGGAGGTGGCTGCATTAATATATCATACTGTAGAAGTAAAGAAAGAATGGCCCATTAAACCGGATCAGAAGACACACAGCTGTTTTCTTAACTCCAGTTTAATATCTCAGCTCTTTCTGCAGAGAAACTGCCCCTCTTGCTGTATTCCTCTGTGAACTGTAGATGGAGCCATTGGTTTATGCACCGTGGTTTATGCACTTATGTTTAACCCTGATGTCTTCTCTCTGCCACATTCTTTCTAGAACTGGATAGCAAATCAACCACCACATGAACCGTCAAGTCATCATGAAACAAAACTCTGCTGAGTTACGCAATAATTGGCCTGGTGTGTGGAGATGTGAGAGTAAGTAAGGTTTGAATTTCTCCTCAAACTTAATCCCACCTTCAAGTAAGGCTTTTCAGGACAGGCATAAAGACTTGTGACTCTTGATGTAGCATTGCACTACTATTGTTGGACTCACTATGGACAGTTTAGGAAAGCATCAAAATCGATGCGTCTGATTTACTGTATGCATTTTTCTTCTTCATCAAGACCTAATGCCTACATTATCCACAATGCAACTGGATTGCAGAGATTTGTTTGTTCTGCTAGTAGCCTGTAGCCTGCAGCAGGGATGAGTCTGGCAAACTCACTGCTGTCGAGCGCCACACAACCACAATGTTTTCAGACTTCAATCCCAACCAGCGCTGTGACACAAGGGACATAAATCTGCTTTTAACCTGTGATGCTAGTTATGTGTGTTTTTGTTTGTTAATTACTGTTCTATTGTAATCTCTCTGCCTTGCTTATATTGTTATTATTATTGTTTCTGTTTTTACCATGTAAAGTGCCTTTGAGTACCTAGCGCTATACAAATAAAATGTATTATTATTCATCAGACTTCAAAAAGCTTGCTCTGGAGCAGCAGAAGGCTTATACGACATTCTTTATTTTTTATGATGTGTCATCTGACCACATCGAAAGAAGAAAGTGTTCTGAAGGATCCTGCTTTATTTGAAGCACATTGAGTTCTTTAGGGACTTTGGTACGTAAAGAGAAGAACCCAAAGGAAAGGAATACTGGAATAGTGTGTGACATCGTCATGTTATCACGTGTGACAGCTGGGGGGAACACTCAGACTGTATATAAGAAGTGGATCACTGTGATGTCACCCATTGGTTTGTGGACTACGGTTTTGAAGTCTCGAGTTTGGCATTTTATCTGTCGCCATCTTGTTTTTGCAACCATAAGTGACACTAGAGCATGGAGCTAAGTACAACCGAACACTGAATAAAACATTTTAGGCAACCGAAAATGTTACAATTACTTTTGATGAAGTGAAAACACACTGAAAGGATTAGAGTTGTAAGAGGAAAACTGTCTTTTCTGTAAACTCATGTTTACAATGTTTACTGAGGTACTAAATCAAGAGAGAAGTAGTCATTTTCTCATAGACTTCTATACAACCAGAGGAGTCGCCCCCTGGTGGACACTAGAGAGAATGCAGCTTTAACACATGAAGCATTGGCTTCACTTTAAAGAACTAGATGGTTGCTGCCTGGAAACACTACATCTGTGACACAGCAAGGACCCTGGACAAACACTGGGACAGACAACATCAGCTGTCTGTGAACATCAGACCAAAAACACTCAGAGCATCCGCTGGGAAGAGGTCAAAGGTCATCGGATATCAAGGATGACATTCACATGCGACACCAGAGACCATCTTTGATCAGAGACAGAAGTTGGCTCATACCTGAGACAGCTCCTCTCACTGAATCAGTCACAGTCTTCCTCTCCCTCTCATCCTCCTTTTCCTCCTCTCAGCATTTACTTCAGTGCTGCTGCACTAACAGTGTGATGTAACAATGTCTGAATGTAACAGAGGAAGCGCTCAGACTGCATGGTGCTGTCTAAGAGTCAGGCTGGTGAACAGGTCAAATGCTGGTCTGGATTGGTCGATGCTTTTCAGTGGGTCAAACATGTGGCTTTGTTTCTCTGGGATTATTTGAAAGTCTGTTTAGACATTTATTATCCTTCTCTTTTAGATTTATGATGAGTGGAAACTCAGTATTTGTGCATTTACAACAAGGTTATAAACAGAATACAGTTCACAACCATTTACTTCCTGTCCCTGTTAGATAAGTACATTTGGATATTTTTTACATAACACCTAGTATGCAATTGATTATATTTTGCACAAAGATATTCATTTTTGCCTACATGTTATTAACCCGTGTGAAAAAGATAATAACGTGCAAACAGGATAATAATTTGTGCACACAAACTCTATATCTACAGTTCACAAGAGACAATGTGTGAAAGAGATCATTTGTGCATATAAATCAATAACTGTGAGCACATTATATGGATTTCACATTCACAAATTATCTTGTGCCCACAAGTTATTATTTTTGACAGGCAACATATTAATTTGTGCAAGTTATACTTATGCTTGTGGGCACAAAATAATATGTTGCCTGCCAAAAATAATAACTTGTGGGCACATGATAATAATGTGTGCATGTAGGATACCTTTCTTGTGCTCACAAGAATAAGGTGCACATACGGTGATACATGGTGCATAGAAGATATGGAGCTTATGTACAAATTATTATCTGTGACTACAAGTTATTATCCTCTCCTTAGGGAAAACTGTAGTTGAGCATGGTGCTATGAGCTGTATATTAGCCTCTCTAGAATGCAGAGCACATCTTGACTGATGATATGAGCACCACGTGTACTTTGTAGACAACGTGTACAGTAGCGTATTGCTGCCGCGGCAGAAAACGACAAACTGATCAACACAGTTCACATAATGTGAAGGGTTAATTGTTATAACAAGACATTTTCCACGTTATAACAAATACACGGAACGTTTCAAGTTCCAACGAGAAAAGTTGCACTCGGACGCAGGTGGACTCCCTGTGATAGGTACTGATATGAACTGGCACTCGGCCAACATAATGCTCAATAACAGGTGAACTTTGACACGTGTCAACCCAAGCATGGAGTCCAATCGTGTTCCTCAATCTATCTGTTCTCTGCACACCATTTCCTCATTCAAACAGAATATACAACACTATAGGAAGTTATTACGTTATATTGTGAAACTTCTCATGTTTCAAGATAAATAGTACTTTGTTATAACATGACAATATCTTGTTATAACAATAAAGGTTTAAAGTTATAACATATCAGTGGTGGGCTGTCAGGGCCTGCAAAGCCTTCTCTGCTGGCCTAAACAGAATCACAAATTTATAGCTATTTTATAATTTAATAATTTTTCATAAATACACTACAAGTATAATAATTTTTTTCCCATTATCTTATTTTCTCATTGCACAGCTACTGTCTTCCTCAGTTGCTCTGCTTCCAGTGCATCTTGTTTTAAGTAGAGCTTTTATCCAATCAGATTTCACCTCTGTCTCTAGGTAAGAAGAGAGGCCCGAGGCCTGCAGACTCACAAGTGAATCCCTTTGCAGTTTAAGTGAATGGGGACGATATTGTTGATTGTCATAGTGTTCAACAAATCAGATCTTTAGTTTGACATGTTGGGCGTATTCTTTGACGTGCCAGAGCTTTCTAGCTGGCCTACAAGTACGTCAGCATTAACGTGCAGTGTGATTGGTCAGTGGGCGAGCGCGTGACTATTTTGGTAGTAGTAAGAGTTCAAGGTGAAAGATATGGAAGAAATTATGACATTTTTAGCATTTTGCTTGGTGTAGATTCTTTTTTTTTTTTACCTAGCTTTGTTTTTTTTAATGCTCAATAGCTGAAGGAGGAGAAACGGATTTGTGAGTCACTGACAACGCCTTTCTGGAGAAGGACATTTCAGGAAAAAATGGACATCTATCAAAGGGTCGGCCAACCCCACAGCTAGCACCCAGCCAGGAAAAGGATTTGTACGAACAGTATTCCTGGCTCACAGCGTCGGAGAAGCGTTGCACATGTTATGGCTAAGAATGCGTTTTATTTGCAACTGAGCGTCTTGGTGTTTGGAGCTGTTTGGAGCTACGCTAAGCTAACCTGAGGACGCCATAGCACGACAGGACACTTACAAGCTACGGTGCTTTTGAAAACTTTTGCTGAGACCCGAGTGGATCTACAACTCAACGAACATGTTCACAGGAGGACCTCTGGCTGGAACTGAACCGCACCGATGTTCTGTACAACCGCATCATTGAACTCTTTATTAACAAAGAAAGGAGGATGGACTTTGTCTTTAAGTGAACAGCAGCTTTGGTAAGTGAAGTGCTTTTGTGTTTTTACATCTGTAGTAGTGTTACTACTGTGTTCATTTGTCTATGGTGTCGTTTTTATGATATGGTTAATATTGTTCCCTCTGATGTGAATAATATTTGAATGGCTCGTGCTCTTCAGTGTGCGGCGGAATACGTATTTTAGCGCTGTAGTGTTGCTGGATTGATGCGTCATGCTTTGTTGTCATATAAATATATGTGACTGGTTCTTGTGAGTTTGTTCTTGTCATTGTGTTGATTACATTGATTTTGACTATATGCATTGTCCGTTAATGACAAAGCATCCCCTCATGCGCGGAGTTATTGTCAGTAGTTCACATCATTCTCGGTCTATCGATCAACATCAAGTGTATTTAAAGTCTACATGCCATATGATTTCTAATATTGGTTTGTGTTGGTTAATGTTGGTTGTGCTCTATTTTTTTGTGTGTGTTCTTAGTATTTGTTTCAATGCCCTTGTGCGATTTAGTCCCATGTATTGTTGTAAAGTCTTAATTGTTATTTGGGCTTAAATTTGTCAATAATCTGCACATAGACTGCAAATGAACATAATCCATTTGACAAAAGTTATATTATGTGTGCTGTCCATGATAAGTAAAGTAAATGATTTTCACCTGTTCAAACTATCCAGATCAGACAGAACCTGCTGCAGACATGCTGAGTGTGAGGGTGCTGTTTGTCATGTGTGTGTGCTGGGTGCTGACACAGGTGCTGCTCATGTGTCCACTGACTTATTGAAGTTGATCAGCCAGATGATGACCTCAGCGGGCGCTGCCTGGTCCCAGTGGATGGTGTAGCCTTTGGCCAGTGTGATCACCGGTTGGAACTGCTGGTAGTGTTTCTTCTTTCCCAGTGCGCCCTCCAGCGTCAGGGGCCGATCAGGGTACTCATCCCTCACCATGAGCATGTTCAGGTTGGCAGGGTTACGTGTCTGGACGTAGATCTGGAGAAAACAGACCATGGATTTAAAAGGCTGATTCGAGTGTTACGACAACTTACTTTTAAAAGCGTTACCCAACATCAATATCATTATATAGTTCATCTCATTTTGCATGGATAAATACAGATTGGGAGCGTAACTTGCCTCTCAACATGGCCGAGGCTAACGGTGCTAATAGCGTGAACAGTGCAAACACTGGCAACAGTTCTGACAGAGTTACCAGTATTTACCTGAGTGGGAACAAGAGGGTGGGCGCTACATTACCATGAACACGCTGCACTAAAAGATGCACTAACAGGCACATAGCAGGCCGGCTATGTGAACAAAGCAAAGAGAAGCTCTGATAAGAACACGTACAGAAGGAGAGAGACTTCATGCTCTGCTCAGGTTAGTCCACTTTAGACATTGATAGATGTTTGATGATTAGATATTATTGCTCTGACAAAAATGATTAGCTATAAGCCTCTTTGACTAAACTAAATAAAGTAAACAAAGATAAATGGATTTCCTGCTTTTGATCACGCCTTACATGATCCCTGGACTTCCTTAGTGTGGGCCAAGCACCAACTGTTCAACATCCCTGGTGAAGGTGTTTCTTTTACTTTATCCATTCAGACTTACGGCCAGGCTGCATTGAACACATAATGGCTACACCAAGACAGTGAGCTTTCCTTTAAGAGATTGAAACACACACTTTTAATAGTTGAATTTATAAGCAGTAAAACACAAACGTATCCATTTCAAAACGCTCTTCTCTTATTGTGCTACTGTTATGCTACCTAAGGGTGTCCCCAACCAAGAATTGACATGGTCCAATCTGATTGGTCAAGTCTTGCCTATCGTCAACTGATCGTTGAATCCTATTTGTTGTATTATTTGCTCCTTGTTGAATTTATGTAACAGAATTATTGGCCGAGATACATTTGGATACATCTTGTATGACACCATGGTCTGAGACAAACAGCATTTTGATCCACTATATGTATATGTGGTAGAATTGACAATAAAGTTGACTTTAACTTTTACTAAATGAGACTAAGTAAGTTCTACCCTAGCAGTTTCCACCTGCTTCAAGTGTTTGTACTAAGCTAAGCAAAACATGTCAATTTGTGACGTGTCAATTTGTGTACTGGACAGATATACTGTAATTGTGAAAAATGCATAAATTATAAATAATCTGATACACTAATGTGTATACAACTACTAATATAAACTCATTCAGGATTTCAAAGAACTAATTGTGTAAACTGATTGTGATATAAAAATGCATGTAATCAACTAAAGCCAAAAGGTGCAACAAACAGTAGATTGGTGCTTGTGAAGGCTGATTTGAATGAGGGTGAGGATGAATGTGTGAGTCAGTCTGTCGCCCGCTGACCCACCTGTGCATAGTGGCCGCTGCAGATAGCAGCCTTCCAGTCGGGCACGTCAATGCAGTCGGGGTGACGGAGCAGCCAGTTGTCCTGTTTAACAAGGAAGGCTCCGGGATACTCACTGACCGAGCCATCGATATCGTGGAAGATGGTCGTCTTGTCCCCGTCCATCTGCATCTTATTGAACCAAGGACCTGGCTCCCCAAAAAACACCCGAGAGGTGATCTACAGTAGAGGGATGGAGTGACAGGCATACATTTGTAGCTGCTCATAGTGAGTATTCTATACATCATCTGGTGATAAGTAATTTCATTGATTTACATTCAAATTATTTTTCTTGTCAAAGAAGTACAAAATAAGACTTTTCTACCATTTGATTGGGAACTTTTGTATTCATGAGTAATTATTTTACACAGCATGCGGTTGTTGTGGTCTCAGCTTCGATTCCTCGCTCCTCATTCCTCTGGTTTGTGACCCAGAAATCGATCTCAGCGCAAATGAATGATCTCTACCCATAGCGGGACTCAACAAATGTAACTGTTCTATACATTTTCATAAGTTGTACTTATTTAAGATGATCAAACTTTCTGTCCTTCACAGTTTGTAGCTCCTCATAAGTCTCTGTTCTGACCACATTCACCTTGATATTCTTATGTTTTTACTCTAAATGTAGGCTACATCCAGTTTAACTGCTATAATCCTGACAAGATGTTTACAAGAGCAAACAGCTGCAAATGATCACATAAGAACATTCTCTGGATTCAGCACGAATTTTCTGTATTTCATGTTTTTACATAGAAAGACAGGACTGTTTGTGTCTTTATCATATATACTGTACACACATATATACACACATACATGCATATACACATACACATACATACATATACAGTGGGTACGGAAAGCATTCAGACCCCTTTAAATTTTTCACTCCGTTTCATTGAAGCCATTTGCTAAAATCAAAAAAGTTCATTTTATTTCTCATTAATGTACACTCAGCACCCCATCTTGACAGAAAAAAAAACAGAAATGTAGAATTTTTTGCAAATTTATTAAAAAAGAAAAACTGAAATATCACATGGTCATAAGTATTCAGACCCTTTGCTCAGTATTGAGTAGAAGCACCCTTTTGAGCTAGTACAGCCATGAGTCTTCTTGGGAATGATGCAACAAGTTTTTCACACCTGGGTTTGGGGATCCTCTGCCATTCTTCCTTGCAGATCCTCTCCAGTTCCGTCAGGTTGGATGGTGAACGTTGGTGGACAGCCATTTTCAGGTCTCTCCAGAGATGCTCAATTGGGTTTAGGTCAGGGCTCTGGCTGGGCCAGTCAAGAATGGTCACAGAGTTGTTCCGAAGCCACTCCTTTGTTATTTTAGCTGTGTGCTTAGGGTCATTGTCTTGTTGGAAGGTGAACCTTCGGCCCAGTCTGAGGTCCAGAGCACTCTGGAAGAGGTTTTCTTCCAGGATATCTCTGTACTTGGCCGCATTCATCTTTCCTTCAATTGCAACCAGTCGTCCTGTCCCTGCAGCTGAAAAACACCCCCATAGCATGATGCTGCCACCACCATGTTTCACTGTTGGGATTGTATTGGGCAGGTGATGAGCAGTGCCTGGTTTTCTCCACACATACCGCTTAGAATTAACGCCAAAAAGTTCAATCTTGGTCTCATCAGACCAGAGAATCTTATTTCTCATAGTCTGGGAGTCCTTCATGTGTTTTTTGGCAAACTCTATGCGGGCTTTCATATGTCTTGCACTGAGGAGAGGCTTCCGTCGGGCCACTCTGCCATAAAGCCCCGACTGGTGGAGGGCTGCAGTGATAGTTGACTTTGTGGAACTTTCTCCCATCTCCCTACTGCATCTCTGGAGCTCAGCCACAGTGATCTTTGGGTTCTTCTTTACCTCTCTAACCAAGGCTCTTCTTCCACGATTGCTCAGTTTGGCTGGACGGCCAGGTCTAGGAAGAGTTCTGGTCGTCCCAAACTTCTTCCATTTAAGGATTATGGAGGCCACTGTGCTCTGAGGAACCTTGAGTGCTGCAGAAATTCTTTTGTAACCTTGGCCAGATCTGTGCCTTGCCACAATTCTGTCTCTGAGCTCCTTGGGCAGTTCCTTCGACCTCATGATTCTCATTTGCTCTGACATGCACTGTGAGCTGTAAGGTCTTATATAGACAGGTGTGTGCCTTTCCTAATCAAGTCCAATCAGTTTAATTAAACACAGCTGGACTCCAATGAAGGAGTAGAACCATCTCAAGGAGGATCAGAAGAAATGGACAGCATGTGAGTTAAATATGAGTGTCACAGCAAAGGGTCTGAATACTTATAACCATGTGATATTTCAGTTTTTCTTTTTCAATAAATTTGCAAAAATTTCTACATTTCTGTCAAGATGGGGTGCTGAGTGTACATTCATGAGAAATAAAATGAACTTTTTTGATTTTAGCAAATGGCTGCAATGAAACAAAGAGTGAACAATTTAAAGGGGTCTGAAAACTTTCCGTACCCACTGTATACACACACACACACACACACACACACATATGCATACACACATATACATACACACATACACATATACCTATATACATATATACATACACACACACACACACATACATGTATACATACACACACACATACACATACACACACACACACATATATATACATACACACATATATACACACACATATATACACACACATATACACACACACACACACACATATACACACACACACACACACACACACACACACACACACACACACACACA